AGAGAGAGAGAGAGAGAGAGAGAGAGAGAGAGAGAGAGAGAGAGAGAAAGCGTAACAGACAAATATAAGACATAATTCATGTACACTTCGGACATTTTTTTGTGCAATAAACATTAAATTTTGAAAACAATATTGCTCTTAATACATCACTCGGTAGTCATGTGGCATCAAAAATCAATCTTAGTTTTATCAAGATGAAACTTTTACTTCCGATAAATAATGTGTTTTTACTTGAGTGCCAGATATGACTGTCGCGGATGGTTTTTTGTTTATTTACAATATATATTTATACATATAAAGATTCCTTTTTTATTACTGATCTCTGTCTATTCCTCACAATGACGTATTCATAAGATTCGGTTATATATGTTTTCTATTACATCTGTTAGTAAAATTCGAGAATATACTTCACTCATATGTGTGCATTGCTCTGTGTACACGTTTGCTAGTATTTTTTTCTGCCTCTTCACGCATATATTGCTTTCAATATCAGCAACAAATATACAGGGAGAATCATCAAATGGAAGCTACCAACTATTATAAAATGACAACTTGATATACATTTAATTATAATTTACATCTACTCAACATTGATTTATAATCGTGATTTAAGATATATTATGTTAAACGAAAATAAATAAATAAATCGATGCAATTAGAGCATATTTTGAAAAGATTTTTCTTCAAATTACGCATCTGTACACAATTACAATTTTTTTAAATAAAGAAATCCACAAAGAATGTCAATAACTTCATAACGCGTTTTCTATTTTTTTTTTCGTGTATACATGCATATATGTTAATATTGCATGCGGTAATTATAATAAAAATAATGGAGGAATCAGTAATAAATGTAGGCAATTGAATGTTTGACTCATACTAAAGACTAGCGAGTTATACCATAACAATGTCCGTAAGATGTATCATGTTTTTCATATCATTTCTTCACAATATATGATAACTACTTTACTACTCTTTCTTATTAGATCTTTCTTCACTTTGCTATACTAAAATAATTTCATTTGTCTGTAAAATGACTTTCAATAAAAATTCATAAATACAACAACTGTATTCATTTTCTTAGCCATTTCAAGATATTAAACTATTATTTGATCTCTTGCTTCTTAAACTGATTATATGAATTTTTTATACGCCACAATGTTGCATTATAATAAACGGTTAATGCTTTTTCAGTATCTCGTAAATTATTTAATAAATTGTTCAAGCTCATTTTTAATTTTTTATTATAAATATTAGCAAATATTAATGCAATTTTTTATTATGTCCAATAGATAACGCAAATTGTTCAAATGTAACTTGTTATTTTTTTTGGGCGGGTAGTTTCAGTCCAACGGATCACAAATTGGCAACCTGCAGTGATGATGGGACTGTCAGAATTTGGGATTTTCTTCGCTGTCACGAGGAACGAATTCTCAGGGGTATAAATCTTTGATTTCATTTATTAACGTTACATGAAATTTATCATTTTCTTCGTTTATTTCATTATACTCAAATAGCTCGGTTTTGACACACTTATTTTTACTCTTTTTATAGATTACATATTTATCATATACATGGATACACTTCATAGTATTCTTTCCACAGGTCATGGTGCGGATGTCAAGTGCGTGCATTGGCATCCACAAAAGAGTCTAGTCATTTCTGGCAGTAAAGACAATCAGCAACCAGTGAAACTTTGGGATCCGAAGACTGGGCAGTCTTTGGCAACTCTGCATGCACATAAGTCGACCGTGATGGATGTCAAGTGGAATGAGAACGGTAACTGGTTGGTGACTGCATCAAGAGATCATCTCTTAAAACTTTTCGACCTCAGGAATCTTAGTCAAGAAGTTCAGACTTTTCGTGGCCATAAAAAAGAGGCGTCCAGCGTCGCGTGGCATCCAAGCCACGAAGGTCTTTTTTGTAGTGGCGGTAGTGACGGTGCCATACTCTTCTGGCACGTTGGGTACATATCATTGCTTTTGCCTGTGATTTTATTTACATAATCGTCTAATTTTATATAATTATATTATTATTTTTGTTATTATTTTTCTTAATACTAAATTAATATTGCAGTTAATTGTGTAACTTTTATCTTGAATTCCAGAGCGGACAAGGAAGTGGGAGCGATAGAACAGGCTCACGACAGCATAGTTTGGACATTAGCTTGGCATCCACTGGGACATATTTTGTGTTCTGGCAGTAACGATCACACGTCTAAGTTTTGGACGCGTAACAGACCGGGAGATTTGATGAGAGACAAATACAATCTCAATACATTACCGGCAGGTTCGGCCGGTATCGATGATCACGAAATTGGTACTGAATATTTCATTTTAAAATTATTTTAACGTTATATATGATGAACGTTATATAAAATTTAATATAAATATTCTTTACTCTACAATATTCTCTCTCATTTTTCTTAGCTGATGAAGCAGCGGTGATACCTGGTATGGGACCAGAGGACAGAATCAACGCAGATTGTGAGTCTGAGGACAAAAACGGCGGAATCCCGGGTCTGGATTTGGATCATGCGGTGGACGAGGGCAAGAAATTCGCCAACAAGAAAGTTCCGTATAGTAAACCGATACCGCGAAATTTCCAAGCGCAGTGGAACGAAATGGAAGCCGAGGATATTGAGCAAGTTGAAGCTCTTAATGCGTTCGTCAATCAATTAATAGAGACAACGCCGGGTGCTGTACCACTAAACGAAGTTACGCCCAACGCCATTATATTATATGGGAAAATGATTTCTGTGGAATGTAAGCAGTGCATTTTAGTAAAATATATATGATCTATGAGATCACTCTTAAGCATATTGATTTAAAAAAATACGCAATTAGTTCTTAAACTCAATTGTATATTTTAGCTGGCTCCAAACTGGCGGAAGCAATCAGTAAAGGGACCGATGCCATAAACAAGTTAGTATTCTCTGGTGAAATAGAAGAACTGCGGGACGTGGTAGGTCCACCGGACAACGTGGACGAGGCCGAGGAGTATCTGCAGGATGACGGCGAGATCGATTATTCTAAAGTACCCGACATAGATTTGCCACCACCCTTGCCCAGCTCTAAATTCGCACAGAATCCGGAGCTGTTGAAATCACTGAATCGTGGCGGCAAGCGCAAGTTCGATCAATTGATCGGCTGGAGCGATGGTGGAGCTAGCGATCGTATATCCAAGATGCATCAGCCGGTTTTCGGTGGTGTGATTACGGAGGACTCGCAATCCAGCGACACCGATCTGAGGTTCGGCATTGGCAAGTCAAATCCTCTCGCGGAGAACAATTCCTTCCATAGCGGCCAGGATGAGGATCACAGGAGGAGTCTTCATATCGATCCAACGAGGAGTGGCAATCGCGGTGATGAGGATCTCAGGTTTAACATATCCGCTGGTCCTGGCAGACCCGGCTCGCGCAACGAGTACGATTCGCGCGGCAACAGTTTCGCGGACAAGGATTTTCGCAACATCGGCAGTTTCCTATCGTCCAAGTCTCTGGATGATGATGATTACGACGAGCGGGAGCACGATAACGTCGGCGGCCGTTGGGACGATGAGAAGGCTGATGGCTCGCGTGGCAAACTGGACGGCACGTTTGCCAGCAACAGTTTCGACAAGCGTGACAACGGCATAGCGATGGGTCCTGGCGGTATGGGCAACAGTATACATGGTCATATGGTTGGCATGCCCCATCTGCCGAATCATCATAACATGCAAAATATTAATCCCAACATGCCACCGCCGATACCGAGTCTGGTGCCGCATCCCAACATGTCGCAGCATCCTGGCATGCAAGGTAAACCGCATCCTGGTATACCTGGGATGGATGGCCCAATGCCACCACATATGATGCCGCACCATCCGAACATGCATCCGGGTTTTGGTCCCAATGGACCGCCGCCCGGTAGTTTCGGACCCAACTTCCGGCCACCGCCGAACAGCAATTTCGGCCCGAATCACTTTAGACCGAGTCCGATGCTGCCTTTTGGACCGAATCAGGGCCCGCCGCCGTTTGGCAACAGTTTTCAAGGACCGCCCAACTTTCGCGGACCAAACGTCGCCCCGATGAACTTTGACCGACCAGGCTTCGGACCCAATTTCCGCGGCCAAAATCCACAGGGTCAATTGAACAGTTTCAATTCCAACTTTGGCAACTTTGGCAAGAACGGTCCGAATCGCGGCATGAATCGTGGCGGTGGCGACAGTATGGCCAGGAGTGGCTATAGTAATCGCGGTAGAGGACGTGACAACGATCAATCGAGAGGAGGGAGGGGAAGAGACAATTATTGAAGAGATTTCTCAGAACTGTGCGTGATTATGGATAATGTTCTTATACCTTGGTATAAACGATTTTGCATGAACTGTTGAGTAAAACTTTGGCTCAGTAGGTATATAAGATAATATGCCGGCGCGTCCACGAGTGACGATCGCGAACTCTTTTACTCATGTGTGCGAAAGTACCCTATATTCATATTATATTATATATGTATGATATAGTGAGTATGATATAGTGAGCTAATGATATAATGAGCTAGCGATCGAGCGCTCTATGCTAGATCTACGAGGATCGATTGTATAGAGGGTGAATTAATTAAACTTTCTTTCTTTAGAGGAGAAAGAAGAGAGAGAAAGAGAGAATGAATCGCTGACTCAGATTTGGATTTATTCTAAATTCAGTTGATTTGTGTGGTGCAGTTTGCCACAGAATAAACAGCTTTTTTCGAGATAAACGAAATTGTAACATAATGCATTAAGGATCGACGACACGAATATTATTCCGATAGAAACTGTTCACAAGCTGCCTTGCGAGGAAATTCTTGTTCCGTATATGGAGCTCGACAAATGCGCGTTAATCGCGTCGGATGAGATTGAGCACGAATGTACGATTGACTTTGTGTCCGCTGTTTGTCGTCTGAAGGGTGTGAGAGTGCCGGAACAGTCTATCTATTATTAATAAAACGGAATAACATAAAGCATCCTTTGTTTTTGCCCTATTTTCGCTTGTACTATACTAACTGTACGATATACGATATACGATAAACGAGCAAACTCAACTGGGATAATCGTGACATAAAGGACGTAAGGAACAAAGAGTACTTATTTACAAAGGATTGAAAAAGGAGATAAGTTTTTAAATAGCATTATCGAATTTGAAGCAAGGGTATTGTGAGCAAATTGGAAAAACGTGTTTCTCACATTTACAATTTTGATTATAAAGTTGTCCATTTAAAGCTTATAAATTGTGAATTTATTTCACGCTACTGATTTGAAAGCTTGTAATAATTCTCTTATTGTTAGTACTTTTAGACATGATATCTGTTAAATATATATATAATAATTATATTTTTTTATAATTATACGTAACAATTATTAGATTTATTGTTCGAAATTATTTTAATGTCACAATTATTCCGATTGAATTTATATCGATTTTCTTTGATCTTATATAATACGCAAATGTAATAATTGAGCGAATATCGAATCATGATAAAATTCTGAAAGAAAATATAGATCACGTCAGAAATCGAAACCGATAATGATGACGATTCAACGCGAGTTATGTTTCATAGTATAAATAGGCTCGTGTTTTTATAGTTACACATAAAAAGATAAGGAACATTTTCTCGTGTATCAATTTCATCGAAATTCGAATTTGATCTGTTTCGATTTCTGAATCTTCTGAATTATTATGTTTCACGTTAGGAACATATGAATTGTAATAGGCGATATATCCGTCGATTTATTTCAAGGGATATACATATTTTGCGTTATTTATTAATTATCAATAAATGGCTTTCATTTTCTAATAATATGTAATGTGAGAGCTAGAGTTTCGATTCTTTTCTATGTAGGCTGATACCATGGGCTGATAGCTGATAGGCATCGACATATAGCCAAATCATATCGATCCATAGCATTGCGCATTGTGCAACTGAGTGCAGTGCACAGTTCAGCACAGTCCTACTACACTCACTTCCTCGTGTGAGGTTATGTTTTCCAAAACATAACCTTCAATCTTGTAATTGTTCTACAACTGTGCTATATAGTTCCAGGGAGGGACTGACGGCACCTATCTTCCCTCACCTGAGGGATTAAAAAAAAAAAATTGTTCAACTGGCAGAAGTTGAACGAGTTGGACAGTCAGGGCAGTCAGGCAGAGGTGGCAGAGTGGCCAAGTCACACAGTCGCACATGCTGCTTCTGCAAAAGAGAAATATTATTTAGTAGAGACCATGGGCAAAAGAGGCAAAGGAGGAGGCAGTAATTTAGGAAAATCTTTAATCAGGGATCGATTTGGATCCAGGAAAATTAAAAGAAACAGCAATGAGCCGTCTATGGTAAAATAATGAATTTGCTTTAACCTCCTCGTTCGAGTGTCATCACGTGTGTCTTTCTCAGTAGGGCGAGTTGAAAATGTCTCCTAAACGATTCATTTTAGAAAAGCGTTCCGTCGTTTTATTTACATTTTGTTTACATAATGATAAATTCGTCAAAGACTAAACGAGTTGCTATATAAATTTACTACCGATATACATGTATATATTTGTTAATAGGTCATTGAGAGCTATTATTTATAACAGTTTTTTTTTCTTTTCATGCATCATGTAGCTTCACACTACAGAGATTAATGACGGTTACGATTGGGGCCGACTCAACTTGCAATCGGTTACAGAGGAGAGCTCGTTTCAAGAGTTTCTGTCAACCGCTGAACTCGCAGGAACAGAGTTTAACGCAGAGAAATTAAATATTAAATTTGTGAATCCCAATAGTGGTGGCTTGCTCTCGAAGAATGAAAAGGAGAAAGTATTGGAGGTGCAAGAAAGAAACAAAGGCCTTGTTAAGATACCTAGAAGACCGAAATGGAATAGTTCCATAAACGCTCAAGAATTACATACTCTTGAGAAAGAGGCATTTTTGGAGTGGAGACGTCATTTGGCTACGTTGCAACAAGTCGAGGGATTGATATTGACGCCTTATGAGAGGAACTTGGAGTTCTGGCGGCAATTGTGGAGAGTGGTGGAACGCAGCGACGTGATTGTACAAATTGTTGACGCACGCAACCCATTGCTCTTTCGCTGCGAGGACTTGGAACGTTATGTTAAAGAAATAAATCCTGACAAATTAAATATGATTCTTCTTAATAAAGCAGACTTCTTAACGGACGAGCAAAGAGATACGTGGGCAAAATATTTTACAGACATAAATGTACAGGTGGCTTTTTTCTCTGCTACGTTAGCAGCAGAGAAACAGCAGATAGAAGAAGAGGATGAAGATGAAGCAAAATCGATAAATGAAAATGATAATGATCATCTTGATGAAATAGATGACTATAGTACTGACGAGTTTAACTCGGAATTTGCTTCGGAATCGGAATCGGAATATGCCAGTGCGGAGGATGGTACCGAGGTTGACAATGATACGTGTACTAAATCTAATATAGAACCTGCTGTTGATAAGCAAACGGGAGCTCAATGCGCGATGGAGAATTTAAAAATCTTTGATACAGACTTGGAAGGCAAAACGAAGAAAATAGTTAATTCGCCGAAATTATTAAACAGGAACGATCTTGTGCAATTATTTAAAATAATTTATAGCGGTAATAAAACCTACACAGATGGAGTGACGACAATCGGTTTGGTGGGATATCCGAACGTTGGAAAAAGTTCCACTATCAATGCTTTGCTCATGGACAAAAAGGTTTCCGTGTCTGCCACCCCAGGCAAAACTAAGCATTTTCAAACGTTGTATTTAGACAAGGATTTACTATTGTGTGACTGCCCAGGCTTGGTAATGCCAAGCTTTGTTTGTACAAAAGCCGAGATGATCTTGAATGGCATACTGTCGATTGATCAGATGCGAGACCACGTACCGGCAATTACGTTACTGGCTACATTGATACCTAGGCATATTCTGGAGGACCTGTATGGTTTTATGTTACCTACGCCACCCGAGGGAGAGGACTCGAATCGCGCACCAACCGCAGAAGAGCTTTTGAACGCGCACGCTTGTATGTAATCGCTTTATATTGACGAAATGTCCGCGCGCTAAACGTAAAATTTAAGAACCATGTACTCCAATTATATATATTTATGTGTTCATGTCTCACATGTTGCATATATAAATTATTTTTATGTTCACATTTATAATAATTATAATGTATATTTCTACAAATTAATATCGTATTTGTTTGCAGATAATAGAGGTTTTATGACGCAGAATGGTCAGCCGGATAATCCACGTTCGGCTAGATACATTTTAAAGGATTTTGTTAACGGTAAATTGCTATATTGCGTTGCACCGCCAACGTTCGAGCAAGAGCGCTTTCACACGTTTCCGCCGCGACGTCGCAATATATCCGCAAACAGGCACGTACCACCCCGAACAGTTCGCGTAAATGAAGGATGTCGAGTTACAATCAACGACGTGGATCAAAAGTTCTTCCAGGATATACATGTCAAGAAGATTGTTGGACCTATGCTAAAATACTCTACAACGTAATGTCAAAATGTTGGCTTTATTTAAATAGTCGCTCATTTATAATGTTGCGACAATAATTGTAAGGTCTATTAAAATGTGTTTGAATTCTAATAATCGAATGACGATCATCACACACGATTGAAATATATGTACATTATATCATTAAACTGTCATATTTTCATATATAAAATTCACTTGATTGGTAAAATTGATTTTCAGGCACGCGGGATCAACGGTTAATTTGACAGAATCGACCGATGATTATTCGTATAAAATCAAGAAACCATGGAAAATGATAAATAAACACGTCAATAAGAATAAACGTGAGAAGGCTCGAAGATTATACGCTCATCTTGACCAACATTGAGTACAAAAATGTGCGAAAAGTACCATTTTGCGTTTTCTGAATCCATTAGCTTTGTAACAGCTATGTAGTATAGCTGTATGATTGCACATATATATATATATATACATACATACACACGCAAAAACACAGGCATGTTGCAGATTTATATTCAGATGTAATCGTGAATGATACATGTATATATGCTAAAATATGGTATTTTATATTTTATACCCTCTGCATTTATCTTTTATTCCCAATATCTCAGTTTTACGGCTAAAGATCGATACCATTTTATAGATCCGTTTAATCATAATGGGATGTAAATCTCATAATCAATTAGAATATTAACTTCAACAGTGGACCGTGGTAGTTAGATTCCATGGGAATAATCGTCAAGTAGGAAGCACAAGCGGATTTCTCCGTTCGAGTCAAGATTCAGTCCACACGATTCGGTGGATGAATATACATACATATATACATACATACATGCATACATATATATACATATACATATATATATATACACGCATATATGTGCACTAAATTTATACATAATTTAACCTCCGTCATAAATAAATTTCAAGTTTGATGAACACCAGATTCCTGATGATTTCTGTGTCGACAACAGATTTTCAGTAAAATAACACAGTGTGCAATATTGTTCTTGCAAACTTGGATTCAAATTCATGGAGTAGTTCATCTATATCATTGTCTAAGTCTTCGCTATTCGCCAACTGAAATATAAAAATTTCCATATTATAAATTAGAATATTTTGAAAATAAAAAAAATATATAATATATATAAATATGTATGTATATACCACTGTCACTAGTTCGCATATAAGAAACGATCCTACTGTGGCCTCTTCATGATTATCCTGAATATCAATATTGATCAAATGCACAGGTTGATTATCTTCTTTAGGTCTAGATTCCATGCATTCGATCACTTGATCGTACACACGTTCCTCGCACGTAATTAGAATATCGAACTTATCCTTGGACAATTGAAAACGTTCCGGCTTGGGTTTTATCCGACGGTTCCGATCCAACATATGCAATAAACCATTCTGTGTATAACTACGCTAATTGTTAAAGAACAAATGTAGAAAAAACAACGGCATATATTGTACGGAGAAAAACTTGATATTTTTTATTTAGATGAATTAAAATTAGTAGCTTACAAAACTTAAAAAAAAAATAATAAAATTAGAAATAAATTGATATCATTATAATGTAATATATGTTAGAAAAATACTAAAAGGCTTATTTATATGCAAAGGATACTATTGCTTGTCTTTCATTAATAGATCATTGTAAATCTCATCGTATGAAGTTCCAAAGTCATAGATGTTAGGGCGATCTGGGGCGGTACCGGGTAGTTTGACCTTGTCGCCAGTTCCAAATGATTTTACATTAAATCCCTTTTTGCTGAAACAATTGCGTTCTCAAATAAATATTCTGCGTTTCCCATGCTTCACAATTTCTCATACTTCATTTCAACCATTAAATATTGCAATTCAGAAGGCTCAAAGTCAATTTATATTTGATATTTCGTTGAGAAGAATATTTCCGAGATATTTTACAATTGTACAAGAGCAAAAAATGCATTTTACAAGAAAAGTCACAATGTATAGGTTGCAATTACTATGCCAATGCTAGTAAACTAATTAACCAATCTATTAATTTCAGCTGTTTCAATCGGTTAATCATTGCGAGTTGTTGAGCGCTTGCCGACGTGCCGACCGATTGCCTACCTCAGAAAAGCGTGCGCCTCCATGCTCCTGTTCATGTTACTGGAACATATTACGGCTACGCTGATGGAATTTGGCGCCGGCATTCTTCCGCGCGTTCTATCAACCGTGAAAGAGCCGTGATAGAAAAGTCGTGTTATTGCCTAACCAAAGATAATCTCACGCTTGAAGCTTTTAGGGAATGAAGGGTCGAAGGCTTGAAGGTTATGTTGAGAAAATGTTACGAAGGATGCATCTGACTGAATATGAAATGTTTTACGCGTCTGTAATTGAGCTTTCTTTATCTAAATCTAATCGGAGCGTAATGGAGGCGCAGGACGGTCCGAGCGAACGTTAATCGTTCTCCACAGCGAGATGAAATTCTTTCAAG